AATTGCTCGCGAGATTCTGTAGAACCCTACATTTTACAATAAAAAAAACATTTTATACGTTAAATTGATTCTTGTTAAAATTTTCGTGTTGAATTTTTAACATATCGAGTGTTACTTTAACATAATGTAATTTTTTTTATGTTATTTGAATATTTTATATTAAATTATTATTTAACAGTATTTTTTTGTGTTAAAAGAACAATTTTTTTAAATTATATTAATTGTACTCTCTTAAAAAAATTTTTTAACAAAAAGGGCGGACCAAAGGTGAATCATACGAAATATGTTAAATTTAATACCAATATTTTAACAGTTTATTGCTTTATCATACCTTTATCATATAGATAATGCTATAAATAGAACATACTATGAATAGAAGGAACGAAAATTAGAAGAAACGTAACTTCGAGGACCAAGCTGCGCTTCATTACGTGGCGATGAAACAAGAATTTTGAGCGAAGCAATTTAACTCTATTAACGTGACCTATTAACACCGATTGCACAAGAATCGAGCATGTATTCGAGAATCGAGGCATCACCCGTTATAACCGGTTTCCCGCGGGTTCTTCCCGTTTGTTACCATTCAGCCGTTAAATTCTGAACGGTGTTTCAGCAGAAAGTAATATCTTTTTCCAACTATATAAGATTCTTTTAAATACTATTTTACCACTCGATCGATTATACATTGAATTGTCGTAAGTTCGAAACACGTCAGGTCTTCTCGGTTGCCTTTTTCCCCTTCAGCAATCTTACGCAAGTACTTGCGACAGCTCACGCGTCATTTTCCAGTGAGCGGATTCAGCGTTATGGCATTAGATGTCGAGAAATGCGAAGGTGTCTCAACGTTGCGAATTGTGCGCACAACTTGACACATGGAAAACGATAATTTATGTACGTGGCACGTAAGACTATCCCTTCGTACATCCGCATTTTATTTCAGTAACGTATCGTCAAAGTAATTTCATCAACTGTTCGCTTTTTGCTAAAAATACCTGCAATGTTGAAAATATCATTGCTTAGATTATGATGAAACTATTTTTAAAAAATATTATTTTTAACATAAAATTTAAATCACGTTAAACGCTCTTTAAACTGCAGCTTTCACAACTAATTTAATTGATGATTGTTTTATAACAAGAATATTGATAGAAATTGTTATTTATTTAAATTTAATAATAGATTTTTGTAAGAGAGTTTGAAATTATTAAAGGTGAAAAAAATTGTATAGTAAAATAAACGTCCAAATTTCTAAGTTCCAGTAAGGTGTATTAACCAGTAAAATTAATTAGTATATCATGATTCTTTGATTTCTTACATAAAGTGTTACTTCTTATTTATTATATTAAATATATTAACCTCAGTTTAATTAATTGGTACACTGCAATTATATGATTTCTTACATAAAGTATTATTTCTTAGTTTTCTCGAGCCAGTTTTGAACACTATTCCGTAACACGCCGGTACCTCTCGTTATCTGTAAAATATTATGCCCTTTGACCCTCTCGAGCCGGCTCTATCGCAGGGCGAAGTCAAATGCCTTATCCGTTCGCTCATTAATGTTCGTTGTGCAAGTGCGCGCGCCGCTTAGATTTCGGATCGTATAGATAAAAACGAGTATTTACAGCAAATATTGTGTAAGGCAGAGATCTCGTTTTATGTACGCAAGAATATCTTGTTTAAAGTAGTCACGTAAGCAATGAATACCGATTTCCAAGATCATATGGAACAAGGTATGATTAAGTTACAGTCAATGGAATTTACATAAAACACAATTTATAGCATTGATATAGTACGTGTTAATAAAATTTTGATTTACGGTTTGATGACGACGTGTTTTTGGCATTTCTTCGTCTAATCCAGCGGGAAGAACCAACTGTTATTTCTGATTTGGATCGAGCAGTGGAAAATCTCGTGGTTCTAACTTAAGTGTAAAATTCCTATATTTTTCAACAGAAAAAAGATTTTAAAAATAATTCATACATATTGTTAGTAGATTAATCAAATATTTAAATTGCGCTATGACTCATAGATATAATTAACAATGAAATCCGTTTGATCAATGTAATAATTAGAGGCGCGCACACATGTGTATATTTATGTATATTATTATGTATATTTATCAAACCAGATAATAAATAAGAAAGTAAATCAAATAAATAAATGGAACGAGTAAATAATAATTTGATTTTCTAACTTTGCATCAACTGACGATCTATACCATATATACATAAATCAAATCTTTTTAGTAAAATGATAGAATCATCATCGTCCGCCGTCAATTGCGCAATGTTAGAATACGTCCTTGTTTTAAAAGGCCTTAAATCATAAGTCGAAAGAGATTAAAAACAATAATTTCTGTCTTTAAGCTGTTTTTGCGCAGTCTTTAGGCTTTAACCGTTAGACTTAAGAGAATCGAGCAAAATCCAATTCTTACGGCCTAAAAGCATAAGTTCTGTGGCCGATATATCGTCACTTACAACTTACAGTTTACGGTTTACGGCCTCTTAAAACGAGGTTGTGGATTTAGCCTTATGCAATATAGATTAAACTATATTCTTCCAAGATTAACTTAGATCACATTATTACATAAAACTATACACTTTTATTTTTAACCCGTTTGTGTGATCTATTGTTAATATTACATCCATGTTTTTCGTGTATTCGTACAATTTAAAAACAATTAAATTTATTTGAGATTGCTATCCTAATTGAATATAGAATTCTAAATTTTGTTTCGAAAGCATCACCTCTGTTTCTTAATGTGATTGAAAAACAATGATTTTTTATATATTTTAACAGAGAATATAAGCTAAACCAAGATTAACTTGGATTACACTATTACATAAAACAATGCCATTATTTTTAACAGTATTACTACATCCAAGTCTTTCTAATTTGTAGAATTTAAAAATAATTAAATTTATTATTCGAGATTGCCACCCCAATATTGAACACAGAATTCTAAATTTTGCTTCGAAACATTCGACATTACCTTAATACATAAAAAAGTAATGCAAAAAGAAACGAAGACGTAGTATCTCGCAGAAGTGTTTTTATCGTTTACTCTGTTTTGATTCGCCGGAATCACCAAACACGTCCCTAATATTTCTGACATAATATTTACACGCCGAGCAAATAGGAGTAGCTCCTTTAGCAGCTCAGGAATTTCTACTTTTCATTGAGTTCTGACAATAAGGATTATCGGGGACGTTGGGGATGTCGGGGACGATAATAGGGAGTTTTTGCAATACCGTTTATCCAGATACGGTGAACGTTAAGGTTAGGTTATCTTCTTCTTAACAACTAATTAAGAAAAGGATAACATGGCTTTAGCGTTCACCGTATCTGAATTCACGTTATTGCAAAAACTCCCTAATAACAGCGGTCGAACGAACGCGTGTATTTACATGTTGTCTCCTTACGTCATTTCACGCCCCAGCAGGATAGACAAAAAATCGTGTACGAAAAAAATGCTCACGTATAAGGAAGTGGCAGTAGTACATGTATCATAATTGTCAATAGGTAATTCTAAATTATATCTGCGATGTTAAAAATTGTTCTGAGATTTGGGATGAATAAAGAATTGACGCATTGGTCAATTAGCGGAATTCTTCAATTCGTTAATTCTTTCCTCGTGTGAGATCTCGGAACAATTTCTAGCATCGTGGAGATACAAGTTTTAAAGACAATATTTCAGCCATATATTTTTTTTCTATGAATTATTTCATCAACTGGATGGGATGATCTCTAATTGTATATAAAGACCAGATTCAAAACAATTTTAATATTAAAAGCGATGATCAACGTATTTCTATTATTTAAATATATATATTCGTATAACAGTCTTGGCCAAAAATAGGCTACTTATATTTTTTTAATTAATCTGAAATTCTTTTATCTGTAATGTTTCCTGTTAGTTACCGATGTTAGACTTCAGTTTAAAGGGTTTTTGAAACAAAGAATAATAAAATTTACAGCTAATGCCATAAATCAATCTTTGAACTAAAACGTGAAATAAAATGGTTAACAAGATACTTAATATTTTTTTTTTCAAGGATGTATGTATATATATTCGAAAAATGGGATGAGAAGGGAAAAATAAATTAATCAATTTAATCACATCGTAACGAAAAAATTGCAGAAAATCTAAAAAAATGCACCGCTAAAATTTAATTACATCGTAACAGAAAAATTACAAAACCAATCATTACTCTGACTACTCCAGTAATTCTGGAGTAATATAAGAGCGGTCTATATATCGCTGAAATAGTTTATGTTAGGCGCAATGAAACATCCACCCGGTTCAACAAGCCGAAAGCTCCGCGTCCAAGAAAGAGGAGCGGAAAGGAGAAGAAAAACAAAGAATACGGCGTGTGTACCTAAATAAACGAGCGACGATGTACACACGACTTCTTTCTCGCTATGTAATTTTTTACATATTGTCGCCATCTCCTCTCTCATCTGTTTAGATTCTCTCTATCTCTTTTTCTCTCTGCAGGACGAATTGTCCGACGTTCGTTCGGAATCGGCTGAGGCGCATCATGGTTTTCCTTATCGCGGTCGCGTCACTCCACTCCGCGTCACAATTTTTATCGCGGCCTGGCCTCGCGTTTCATGGAAATCGCCCGCACGTTTCTATATAGTTGTTACCGCTGTTGCTGCTGCCGCTGTTCTCTCTCTCTCTCTCTCTCTCTCTCTCCGCCCACAGATCAAATAGCGCAATTAAGCCTCCCCGTCTCCCGAGTCGTTATCATTCTCGTTTCGCGTCCACGGCTGTCTCCTCGACGTCGACGATCAAGAAAAGGACGCGACCGTTCGACGTCGTGCACCAGATGTTGGTCCAATCCGCGGGAATAATCCGCGTACGAATGTACGACGTATGTGCGCGCGCGCGCGAGCGAACGCACTTTGCGATGAATTGCGCACATATGTATATACATATACATACACATACATACACACGCGAGAGACAAGTTGGGACGAGCCTCCATCGCACTCACCTTCTGGACCTATCTCACAACTCTCGTCACCGTTCCCCGTCGCCTCTGCCGTCGATGTGGCCAATGCAGGCCCGCCGGAGGAGGGCACACGCTCCGAAAATGATTTCTTCCCGATCCCCGTCGGCGGTCGAGGGGCACACGCCACACGCCACACACCCGGGGGTCTCGGCGCGTTCGCGTTCGCGTTCGCTCCTTCCCCTTCGTCAGGCTGGGCCGCGAGGCGCCGCGCCCGGACGCGGCCCGTACGCGTTATTGCACGGCACACACTCGCTCATAACGGCACGGCGACGACGCCATTTACGCGCGGAGTCCACATTCGCCCACAATCGCCCGCGACCGATACACGGCTGTACAGTATACACGACTGGCCAGGCAGACTGGCTGCTGGCAGGCCAGGCTGACGGCAGTGACGGCGCCGACCACACGACACGCGCCACTATGCACAGCTGACGGAGGAATGCGGCCGCGAGCGCCGGCCAATGGCGACGCGCGCAGCTCCCCCCACCACTCGCTCAAAGCGGCGAGGCGGCTTGCCGCCGACGCGGTTTTTTTAAAATTCTCCACAGCGCGGAACAAAGGCTCTGTGATTAATGTATTGGGCAAAGTTGAGAAAAATCATTAAACATGCTTTAACATGCTTAAACGTTTAAAACATGCTTCACCGATGTTTTTAACATGTTTTAAACATGTTTTTTTATAATACTGTTTAAAACATGTATGAAGCATAAAAACAAAGTTTTAAAAAACACAATGTTTTGTTTTATAAAAAAAACAAAGCAAAAGATAAATTTTGATTGGAAGAATTCATTCCAAATAATTCCGTAATACTAGTAGCTAGTAATATTTAAGATTACGTTAGATTAATATTTTTCTCCACCTAAGGTATATATGGTATATTATACGATAGTTATAGTTACAAAATTGTTTATTTAGAGATGATACGTCATTATTTCAAGATATCTTTGCAATCTTTATAATTGAATCTTCAAGTAATAGGCAATTAGTTGTAAGCAATTCGTGGTAGCGAACGGTACATTAACGAAAAATGGCTCAAACGGGACTCGCGTGTTATAGTATTCACATTTAAATTTATCACTGTCTAATTCTGTGCAAAATTGCATTATCCGAATGGATAACCATTCTATTATAATGACCGATGAAATCGTCATTACAGTATTCACATTTAAATTTATATCACTGTCTAATTCTGTACAAAATTGCGTCATCCATTCGGATAAGAGATTCACACAGAATTCGACAGTGATCAATTTAAATGTGAATGCTGTAATGACGATTTCACCTGTCATTATAATGGTATGGGAAACCATTTATTCAAAAAACATATTTTTTTATGAAGAAGAAAAAAAAAGAAGATGCATTGTCAAATGGTTTTCAAAATGAAACACATCATCCAGATGACTTCTAACTATTATGTTGTGACAATTATTAGCATGATGACATTTTCCAAAACAATAAAAGGTTGATGCAAGAAATAAAATTTTGGTGCAAGAAATTCATGTTTTGAGTATGATTTCTGATATTTTTTGACATTTATTCAAGAAACATCACATAACGGAAATACGTTCTTACACAAAACATGAATTTCTTGCATCAAAATTTATCATTTGGCGTGCTAGAGAATATTATGTTGGAAAATGTCACAATGCTAATTGTCACAACTGTAATAGTTAGACTTCTGGCCTGTGTTACACCTCTCTCATATGCTTGTGGTGCACATGCTGATTATTCAATTGCCACAAGCATATGGGTTTTAATGCCGTTTCCGAACGGTGGATTTTTCGAGAGGTGTTTCTGTGGACAAAGATACTTTTGGGAGGTTGCCTTTTCCGAGAGGAGACACGAGCATAAATATTTTAGTTCCTACTGGGATCGAACCCGGAACCTCTGGCATGATAAACTAGTGCGCTGTCTGCCATGCCACGCTCGCGCTCACAAATTGTATAACAATATGTATAATTCTATATAATTATATATAATTTTATATGTAAGTTTATATACAATTATGTATAAATATATATAATTATATAAAATTATACATATTTTTATAGAATTTTATATAATTATATATATAATATTTTTTCCCGGGATATCTCGTTAATTTAACTAGAAGAATACCCTGAAAGAAAAGATTGGTTACTGCAGCAAATTAAATGGTAAAATATGGCATAGCATTTTTAATTAGCTATAACAGCCAATTTTTGGTTGTGTTAGCTTATCCGCAATGTCAGTATAGGATTTCGATTGGCTAATGCAACCAAAAATTGGCTGCTGTAGCCAATTAAGAATGCTATACCATATTTTACCATTTAATTTGCTGCAGTAGCCAATCTTTTCTTTCAGTGTACTTATTCCTATATGTCGCCATTGCTTTTACACAATATCTCATTAATTTCACTATATAAGAATAAAGTAAAACTATTTAACTCGGGAAGAGTATTCAATTTAGTTCAAATTTTATTTACTAATTGTAAATTTGTATGTAATGTGAACGCTTTGACACGAAGTAACTCAAGCTCGGTTTGATACTATCATGTTTTATAAAATATTAAATTATTTGGGAAAAAATATTTTATATATAATTATATAAAATTACACAAAATTATATATAATTGTATATAATTGTATATAAATGGATATATTTTATATATAATTATATATAAACATATACAATTATATACAATTATATAGAAAACGTTCATTTATACAATAAAATAAAAAATAATAAAAGTTCAGATGAGGCTAATGTCTATTTATATACAATTCTATAAAATTATATATCGTATATTTTTATATAATTTTATATAATTATATATAAAATATTTTTCTTTTCCCCGGAATACATCTTGATATACTTGGAAATGAAAATAAAGAATAAAATATTCATTTTTCATATATGAAATACATAAAATAAAAAAAATATAAAGTTTAAATAAAATCATGATTAAAACGAATAAAATTGTTATCTGAATTGAATAAAATTGTTATCTGAAACGAATAAAATTGTTATATGAATATTATGACATGGAAAAGCGTTTGTTACAGTGTAACAAACAAATATCATTTTATTAATATTTCCCTATTTATCCTATTCCCAAATATTCATTCAGGATTAAGTTTTATACAAGTTGTTGCAGAAAAGCAGTATCTACATACACATATATATATAATGTGTACTATTTTTTTTTTAAATTTCTCCTATTGTTTTATACTTATTTGTATACAAGTTACTGATGAAATAACAATTAAAATTCTAATCTAACGTATATGATTTATTGATCTCGCTTTTGTATAAAAGATATTTTATGTTATTAACTATTGTTATTTATTTCAATGCACTGACTTTAGCCTGATCTTTTTTAACTTATCCATATGTAGTAAATGGATTTTATACCAGTTTAAGTAGTAACGATCTAAGATCCAAAATATACACTTTATACCAATAGAAGAATTTTATCTCATAATTACTTTAAAATTGCGTCACTTTATACCAATAGAAGAATTTTATCTCATAATTATTTTAAAATTGCATTCAGAGTTTTGCATAACTTAAAATACTTAATTTTAAAATAATATGTTATATAAAAAATGATTTTGATAGTATACAAAATAAAATAAGAGGATATATTTATTAACGTGAGGGAAAATCATCCCTTTCGGATCTCACATCGTTCATCTGAATTTTTCATCTCCGCATGCTTTGAGATGAGATTCAGCAACGAATCGTTCGAATCGTTAAAAATACGTACATGGACCCTGAATTTTGTCGGATAATAATCAATTTAGTAATTTTCTGTCATTTACTTTTACATTAAAGTTTCGTTGATTATATTATAAAGTTTATGCTAAGAAATTTAATCTAATTTCATAATATTCGAGACTCTTAAAACCAAAATGTTGTTGACGCGGAGATTTTTTAATTTAGATATATTTTTAATTGAATACTCATATTTTTAATTTTGAATAAACGCGAATAAAGAATAAACATGTCATTTATTCGTGTATTAATTGATAATTATTCATATTAATATTTATTTAATTTTATTAATGTAATGGCCCCTTCGCGACGCGTTCGCGTTTCGCGCATCGTACGAAAGCGTAAAATGTTCCGCTTATTGCCGCCGATGATAGCCGGCAGCAGTCGGCACGAAAAAGGAGTATTTCTCCTTGTTGCCGATTTCTGGCATATAGCCAGAATATTGGCCAGGAACAACGAAAGGTGAGTTCAATCTGGCCAGAAGAAAGAAGAGAATCTGTATGATTCCAGGTAGGTTGGTGTGTGACACCAATCTAAGTTTTTTTAAAGGTAAATTGGATATTCGGGAGGGTAACTTACTCGCAAATTGCGAGTTCTTATATTTTTTTAATTATTACTTATTTAAAACACAAAAAAATAAACAACGAACAACAGAGCTAATGAAATTCAGCGCAGGTAATCAAGCGCAAGTTTTGTAGATCAAAAAATGACTCTCATTAGCCCTATTATTTGTTAATTTTTTTTTGTATTTTAAAAATTAAAAGCTTGTTTTAATTATTACTGCTTATTGCTTATTTATTATAAGTACACTAAAAATAAGAATTTACTGTTGCAGCAAATTAGGTGATAAAATACGGCATAGCATTTTTAATTGATTGCAGCAGCCAATTTTTGGCTGTGTTAATCTATCGAAATCCTATACTGACATTGCGGATAGGCTAACGCAACCAAAAATTGACTGCTGCAGTCAATTAAAAATGCTATGCCATATTTTACCATCTAGTTTGCTGCAGCAGCCAATCTTTTTTTTCAGTGTATGAAAACGATTATTATAATCGCGATTCATCCCCCTTAATTTATC